TATTTTAATGACCTTGGTCCATAATTTATAATATCACAGAACAAAAATAGCTAAAATCATAGACATAATGTAAAGATATTATGTTTATGGCTAAAATAATAGATGTGATTACTGGTTTAAGAATAAAAAAAAATAATAACAACAGTCAACGAAGGTGATAACTGATAACATTTCAACTGGCTAGAATGCTAGGAAAACTTACGTGTTCAGTGGTTGGCAGTGAGCCTAAACTGTGACGATTACAACACATGTCACATTTAAGTCAGTGGCTGACCGGCTGACGCATTGACGGATAAAGAAGAATAAAAATAATAATAATCTGAATCGAATTATTGTTAAATAATAAAATTCCCGGGTCGAGCTATAACGAAAATACCCCCGCATACGACATCCGGTGATAATAATGTTATTTAATTTAATATAATCATGTCTATTYTCCATTTCCGAAGTCTAGTGGTCACCAAATAGTACCTCAATACCGCTGAACAATAATATTATAGAAAATATCATGACCTTGACCGTTGTCATTCTTTGTTATAAAATTACGGTTGTCGGGCTTATTATTGTATTATAATAAAATATAATAAATATYATTATTTTCGAAAGCATAAAGCACGACAGCTCTGTCAATTTTATCTCAAACCGTAGACACTACTACACTATATAGGTAGGTAACTGAAAACTTTCAACTTCCTGGTTAGTTCGATACCAGAACCCGAACGCCAGCACTCGTAATTAAATAAACACCCAATCCAAACATCATTACAAATGACAACGTTATGATATTTAAATATTAATTGATTGTATTATTTACAATTAATATGATTAATTCATTATTTGACTGCTGTGCGTGAGCGTGACGCACTTCGCAATGTCGCCCGACGACGACGGCGATCAGTCGCCATATTGATCGCGTAATTCGTTATCAATATTTTATTATTATTATTATTATTATTACCGTGTTCTCGGTGTTGGTGGTTTTGTCTTGCGTCTCGAGCCGCCGACCAGCCACACACCGACACCGCACGACGGACGAGTGATAAAAAATTAATGATTATTGACCGAAACACGACAAGTCGACAACGAAGTTCGGAAACACAGCCGCCGCCGCCGCATGCCGTGTTCGGTAGACGGATAGTCTTTTATAGTTTTTTACGACTTAGTATTCCGTAGGCCGTTCTCGTTTGTTGCGGCATTTCCCCCGTCGGTCGTGTCTGTCCCCATCATTGTCGACGCAGTCGGACAATAATAATAGTAATAATAATTACTACAATAGCTGTAATTGCATTGTACTTTTGTTGTCATTGCCGATTGCTGATCGTGGAAAAATGACTGACACGAAACCGCTGTTGGACAGCGGCGATTTGACCGCCCAAAAAGCTTCGGAAGCAGGTAAACGGAGCTGATGTTGATTTATTTTTCGGTTACTTGGGAGTTCTTTTTACTCCCTTTGTTTTAAGTGCGCGAAAAACACAAGGTTACATATTATTAACGTACCTATCATCGTGTATTCATGTAGTGTTCCTATTGTCAATACCTGTATAATCTATCTACCTTGTAACAAATCGATCGATTGGCTTAGTTGTGAGTTTGTGACTGCTCAACTAAGCTTCGGAGTGTTAGTGACTTYGCATATTGCTTTWGTCAATATTAATTATTGTATAGATTCATCATTGTAGACTAGTTTTGTCCCGTTTTAGGTGCCTTACAATTATCAGTAGATAATTCTTACATTTATCATTATATCTATTCCTAGACAATTTGTGTTCATAGTTTAATGTTCAATCATGTATAATATTGAGATTTTATACTATTTCAATTTTGAATCTTTATAACTTATAAGTTATAACTAAGGCAAACATTTAGTGATTGTAGGTAAAGCTGTTACAGGTACAATACATTATTTTTTTAGTGTAATTATTTAAAGGCCATAATTTTGGATATTAATAGTCAAGTTACGTAAAACAATTGATCTATTTAATGGATCATTAAAATTTTACTTTGAAAATTCTGAATCTAATTTTAATGCATATAAATCAAAAAATTGAAATGTGTAGTTTTTGAAT